TTTTTTGTACCAGGGATTGAACTTGGGACCTTGTGCTTGTGAGGCAGGCAATGGAACCACTGAGCTAAATCCCTGGCCCTACTCCTACTACTTCAATGCTAACTCTCACATGTTCTGTCCCAACCTTCCTACAGTCAACACTCTTATTATTCTGTGAAATTATTTTTTTTTCTTTTTTTTTTTTTTGTTATTCTAATTCCCTCTGTGGCACATATATGCCATAATATAGTCATAATCTGTCACTTCTATTATTGGAACATCAGAAAATGTGCTCCTGAGGATGCAGCATTTCCACAAGAAATTACTGTAATCTTAAAATACTCCTCTTCCTTCTCCATGAACTTTAAGGAGGGATTAGCTTGGCTATGACAGATAAGACAACATCGAGAAGACCCAAATATGAGGGCATAACACCGCATGACAACATGAGAAAAGCAAGCAACACCTCCCTGAAAACAAAAGGGGCTGGACTCACATCACTACTGCACTTAGATCAATGAGGGCTGAAATACGTATTTACCAGGGGCGGTGATGGGTATCTCTGCAGCAAGCAGATGCAGAAGAAGGAAGCTCTGCAGAAACAGAAGCAGGAACACAAGGCTGATGCGCTCTGCATGCAATAGCAGAAGTGGGAAGGCCAACAGGGTGAGGGCCGTGACCATAGCAGCTGAGTAGACACTTCCCAACCGATAGGCAGCCACAGTCAAGGGACCCTGAGATTTGGTCCTCTCTAGCCGTCCCCGGAACTCCTCTTGCATGTGTCGGTAGATTTGAGGGACCACATAATCCAGGTCAGCCTGAGAAGTAGGGGGGCCTGAGAAGGGAGTGAGGACAGTCCTGGTCCGTGGGGCACCTGTGCCAGCCTTCACCAGCACTGTCACAGGTTTCCAGAGCAGCAGCATGAGCCCTGTAGCAGCCAGCCCCACCACAGCCCGAGGAAGCACAACTGATGCTCCAGCAACCAGGGCCCGGAGACGTGGGGGTGCTTCATCTGCCCCTGACACCAATGCCCAGTAGGCAGCAGTGCCCAATGCCATTAGAGGGAGACCCCAGCGCACAAAGAGCACAGGGGGCTCAGGGCTCTTGAGATTACCATAGTGGCGAAGCCACAGGCGCACGGCAACTAACAGGGCTACCAGTGCTCCCACACAAGCTCCATACCACAAATTTTTGGCTCGACCATCCACCATGGATGCCAGAGGACTCAGCCAAGGAGAGGAGTGGCAAGCAGGCGTCTCTTCAGGGCAGCGATGAAAAAGCCCAGCTAGCCTTGTACATAAAAGCAACCCAACGCCAAGCCTCAGGGCATATGCACCACTGTGCCGTGGGGGGCCTGTTAGGGTAGAAGAGCCAAGGCGGGGTATTGTGAGCAGTTTAGGTACCAGCAGCTCACCCTCCCAGTGCCTCTGGACAACAAGGAGCAAGATGAGTGAGCCTAAAAGGAAGGGGGTGGCCCTAGCCTCAGCTACAACAAAGCTGTCAGAGAAAAAGGTAGCCAAGCGAATGAACAAGAGTAACAGGACAGGCCCAGGGATGGGAAGCATGGTTGCCAGGGGCTTCTTAGACCTCCAGCTACCCCAGACTTTCCACAGAAAAGGCAGGAGTGAACCTCCTGCAGCCACAGCCCCTAGAACCACTAGATCCAGCTTCAGCCTGGTAGCTGTTAATAATCCAGCATACAGAATGGTCCCAGCAAGGGCCCAGGCCACAGGTATCAGCAGTAGAGGGCGGAAAGGAAAGGCTAGGAAAGTTGCCCACTGGGATGCGAGCAGGCAGAGAAGGCAGGCAGCAGCCAAGAGAGTAGCACCCCCTGCCATGCGGACCAGAGAGAAACGGGCCCAAGACTCGATGCATATGGCTCGAGCTCCCCGCAGGAACTGCTGCAGCTCAGTAATCACAGTCTGCAGTGTTGCCTCAGCCCTATGGGGGCTCTGCAGGAGGCGCTGGTAGTCAGCAGAGGCCTTGGAGAAGAGGTTCTGCAGTCGATGAAGCTCCTTAACTTGGAGGTCCTGAGTAGCAGCTGAGTAGGCATGAAGAAATCGGGATACCTGACAGAAAAGGTCAGAGGCCAAGGGGAACAGGTCAGAGATATAAATCAGTGCAGAGGCAAAGTTAGGGATTACAAAAGGGAGTACCTGGAAATCAGACCCAAACTGTCTAGATCAGGAGAATGCAGGGATAAGGAAAATGGGGACATGGCTACGGAAGTTAGGACAAAGGACAGGAAAGTGGTCATTATGCTACTCTCATATTCATCCTAGTATTTTTTTTTCTCTTTTGAGACAGGGTCTCACTATGTAGTTTCAGGCTGACCCTGAACTCACTATGTAGATTAGGCTGGCCTCAAACTCTCTGCAATCCTCCTGCCTCAGCTTCACAGAAGAGCTGGAATTACAGACATGTGCCACCATACCCAACTATTCCATCCTAGCTTTATCCCTTGGAAGCCCAGCACTTTACCTACCTGTTGGGCATTGAGATGGAGCACCGAGGCTTGGGCGAGTGCAGAAGAGTCAGGCCGGGAGTCCTCACCCCATGAGAACAGTTCAGCCATCACCTCCCCAATGTTCCCAAATGGGATGGGGAGGCCCAGTAGCAGGGCCAATGTGGGCACAAGGCTGACTTGAGGAATTGTTTCTGGATCCTAGAGGGAAAGGATAGGGCTCAATGGGTTCAACACAAAGTTAAAGTCCTTGTTTGAGATGGCAGACTTAGGGACCTAGGAAATGTGTAGTGAATACCCAGGGTCAGGGATTTAGTGGCCTAAAATAGAGGGATCCATGAAGACAATGTCATCATTATGTGGGCTGAATAGTGGGAGATCTGAAGAGGCACACCCCAGACCTCACCTTTGGTGGGGCGCTGGGGAAGAGGGGTGTAGAGCTGTATAGAAAGAGTGCAGCTGAGACCTCCAGGTCACTGTCCCCTCCATGGTCCCCATTCACAGTCATCCCATGGTCCCCAGCCACCACCAGCAGGGTGTCATTTTCCAGACGCTCCACAAGTCCCCTGGAGACCAAGAAATATGTTAGGGTAAGAATGGATAAAGATTCTTTTCAGGGACCCATCTGCCCCCAGCTATGACTTCTATTAGCAGGGTTTAGGCCTCTGGCAGAGATATCTCTTTGGCCATAACCCTGTCGCCCAAAGCCAAACAAAGTTATTCAAGACAGATGAATCCCCTAGCTCCTGAAAAAGCCTGAAAGAGACAAAATTCAACCAAGAAAGAGGCTTCAAATAAGAACTTTTTCCTGAGACTATATATCCTGGGAGTCACAGGCACAAACACACTCCCCCAGCTAAAGCCCCACACTCACCGAATCACCTGGTCCATCTGGCTAAGTTTCTTGGCCATTTCAGGGTGGTGAGGGCCATGCTTGTGGCCACAATGATCCACACCCAGGAAGTGAGCAATCAGCACGTCCCATTCACCACTGTCCACTGTGAAGGGGAGAACACTGAGCATGGGGGACTAAGGCCCATTCCTCAACCCCAGCTAGGCTTGGCCATTCCTCTAGTCCAAGTACACAAGCCCAGGCGGTTGCACCCACGAAAAGCTCAGAATCTGTAGACTAAAGCAGATCTCCCCAGTTCCCAGTCTGTTGGGGAGTTAAGTGCTCTGGCCCCATGCTCACTGGTGGGATACAGGTGTTCTAGGATGCCATTGTCCACTGTGTGTAGGTCTTTGACATTGAAGGATGAGAAGAAGAAAGCTTTGGAAAAAGCTCCAGGGAAAAGGTCTTTCCAGGTGTCATCTCCCATGAAGACTACACGCCTTCCTGAGGGATACAAGAGGCAGTCAGACACTGAGAAGTTAGGACAGGATAGGAGACTCTTCAAAGATCCACCAGAAATCTCAACTATGCACAACTATTCTATGCAGCAACTCTTTACCCTTCGAGGCCTAAAACTTCCCACCAGAAAGTTTCCCCTCATAACTATATTTCATATAGACCTCTCACTTCTGTTCTACAAAATAATCTTCCAGTTCTCAGTCCCTAGTATCTCTGCTGACCTGTTTTTACTTGGGTATATCTTGCTTTTTCCAAGTCAGTCAACCCTCTTCTCCATACTTTTGAACCAAGATCCTTATATTTTCATATCTCCCCTGCCCTTTTACTGAGTTCTGCAAAAATAAAATCCAACATTTCATGCAGATTAAAAACTTTACCTAGTTTAATCCCTGGTACGGGGGGGAAAAAAAAAAGAAACTTCACCTATGACAAAGCTCTGTGTCCACCAAACTGCAAGGTTCTGGTCTTTTTCTCCTCCTCAGTCCCATGACACTATAGCCAAGAACGCAGCTAGGCACCCAAAGTTCTGGCACCTTGACTTTTGAGGAAGAAATTTGCCCAAAGGGACCCATACTGACCTGCACTGTTGAGCTGCTTAATGAGATTGTCTTCTAGTATGGCGTGACTGGCAAAGTTACTGCCAGCATCAATAAAGGTAGGGAGTGAGCCAGTGGTAAGGGCCTTGAGGCGCTGCATGGTGGTGGTGGGGGGATCAACTTGAGATCGATAGAGCCGGGCATGGTGGGGCTGAATCTCCAGAAGCCTCTGCAAGGAGCCTAATTTGCCCATAAAAGGCAAGGAGACAGGAGGATCTCCAGACGTATGTGACTGCTGGGGCTGGGCAAAGTCAAATCGCAGAGCATCTATCAGTACCAACACAACTCTGGAGAACCGGGAAGTCATCCAGCAGGCCCCAGGCTTCCCTTGGCTCCCCCATGGCAGGAAGCCAGGGCCTGGGGGCTCTTGGCAGATGCTGTAGTTGGTAAGCTCCAAACGGGTGAGAAGGAAACCACTGGTGAAGAGGGCGATGCCAGCATAGAAGAGCAAACAGACCCAGACCAGGAAGAGCAACACCAAGACCTTCTGCATCCTGATGAGGCAGGAGAAGGAAATCATCACTGTGGGTCATACAACCAGTGGATATTTTGGTCCCTCAGCAACTTAACTTGATTTTTTTGGTCTGTTGTCTGGGTTGTTGTTGTTTTTGTTTGCTTGGTTGGTTTTTTTTTTTTTTGGTACCGGGGATCAACTCGGGTCCTTGTGCTTGCAAGGAGGCGGCAGAACCGCTGAGCTAAATCCTGGCCCACAACTCAACTTGAACCACTTTCTCTTAGAAGCCTTTCTGGACACAAAGAGCTCAATAGCCAACCCATTCCAAGGTTCCTTTTCACTAGTTATGTCAGTCGTTCTGAAGGTTCCCAAGACTATGGGCACCAACCTAGAACTGCTGCTAAAAAACGCTATTTCCATTATATGCAAGTACCAACTCTTCACAATGAATGTAATCATCATGTACCTCAAAAATGTATTATTAGAATTTTTTAAATTCAAGGTGGCATTCACACCTACAAGTAAAATTGAGCTTCTCCTATGCAAAACTGAATAAAACAATTCACATGCTTAGAAAAATATACTATTTCCACCCAGCACGCGGGAGGCTGAGGCAGGAGGATCCCCCACAAGTTCGCCAGCCTGGGCTACACAGTGAGTTCAAGGCCAGCCTTGTTTCAAAAAAACAAAAAGCTATTTCCAGAGTCCACCCTTCATGCACAGAATCAGTATTTTTGGGAGGGGGAAAAGGAATCTGCATATGTACAAATAGGTGATCCTAAGTCTGAAAAAATCATTGTCTTAGAAGGAAAACTTATTCCCGAGTAGCAGGCTACTCTGACACACCGTTTTAACGCCTTCTCGCCTGACCTGTATCAAGACACCTGGGGTTGCAAAGGGGCAGAGCTGCAGGGAAATCTTAACCAATTCCACGATGCAGCCAGGCTGAAGCCAAGAGACAATGGGGCGGAGCCACGCTCTGCTTCTGGGAGGCCAGAATCGGCAAAAGACCCCAGGCACAACCTCCTCGTGAAGCCAGTCAGAAATCCCCCTACCCCACCTAATGCTGCTTAGGCTTTCCAAGGGACTCAGGCATCCAGGCAGCAGCTCTGCCTCCTTCACTGGCTACTCCGCCTCCGGCTGAGCATTCTGGCGCCAGTATGCAGAGACCTCGGGCAGAGGAAGGAGTCTCTTACTTAAGGACTAGGGCAGTGAGGGTTCCATAGAGACCACGGCTCACCTGGATCGGCGCCCGGAAGTACTGCGGCGGCCCGTGAGGCCTGGGACCATAGAATTGCCAGCTCGGATAGAGCGTCTCAGGGAGCCCCAGCGCCACCTGCGGGCGCCTGGATGGAAGTTTCTCAAGAAAGGCAGAACTGCCAAGTTTTTGTAAAGTGCGTACCGCATTGTAATTTACAATTGGAAAAAGGGACTATTAAGCTAGATGGATTCAGGGAACTACTATCCAGTCTTGGTTAGGGCTAGAAGCATGGCCTCTGGAGTCAAATTTGGCTTGAATTCTAGCTCTGCCACTTACTGTGAAGTACTGGGCATTATCATCTGTACAATAGGGTTAAATAATACTTATTTCCTACTTTTTGCTTAGCTGATTTCAATTGATAGATTTTATTATACCTGTCTACAAAGTTTTGTACTGAATCTTTCAATAAATTTTTAAAAAGCAAGTAATCCAGTTTATTTTTATTTTTTAGAGACAGGGTCTCACTATGCAGTTGAGACTGACCTGGAACTCACTATGTAGCCCAGGCTGGTCTCGAACTCACAGCGATCCTCCTGCCTCAGCCTCGGCAGTGCTGGGATTACAGGCATGCACCACCATGCTCGGCAATCCAGTTTTTAAATGAGCAAAAGATGTCATGAGACAGTCTTCTAAGAAAGATACAAATATGGGCCTGGGGATTTAGCTCAGTGGTGCCAAGGTGTAAGGTCCTGAGTTCGGTCTCTGGTACCAAAAAAAAAAAAAAGAAAGAAAGAAAAGAAAAAGAAAGATACAAATAGCCAATAATCACATGGAAAGATGCTCAACATTATTTGCAATCAGGAAAACACTGGAAATACCCCTTCAAACTCAACCAGAGTGGCTATAATTAAAAAAACAAACAAACAAACAAAAACAAAAAAAAAGGAAGGCTGGAGGTATAACTCAGTGATAGATACCTTGCTTACCATATGCCATGCCCTGGGTTGGATCCTAAGCAAAAACAAAAGAAACAAAAAACCCCACTAACAAGTACTAGCAAGGATGTTGAAACTGGAACCTTCATACACCACTGATGGCATTGCAAAATGGTGCTGTAGCTTTGGAAAACAGAACAATTCCTCGAAATATTACACAGAGCCAAGGTATGGTGGTGCATTCTTGTAATCTCTGTTGCCTGGGAGACTGAGGCAGGAGGGCGGCAAGTTTGAGGCCAGCAAGTCTGAGGCCAGCCTGGACAATTTAGTGAGAGCCTGTCTCAAAATAGAAAAATGTAGCTAGGCGTTCCCATGGTTCAATCCCCAGTACAAAAAAAAGATAAAGTTATCATATGACCCAGCAATTCCACTCCTAGGTAGATAACTAAGAGAAATGAAAACATGTTTCTAAACAAAAACATACATGAATGTTGATAGTAGCAATTATGCATAATTATGAAAAGGTAGAAACCCAAGTCTATAACTAATGAATGGATAAACAAAGTATGGTGCACCCAGACAATGGAATGTTGGGGGGGCAGGGGAAGAATACAATCACTGCAGTGATTACACAACTGCATGAATATACTAAACTACTGAATGTACTTTTTTTTTCAGTACCAAGGATCGAACTCAGGCCTTTGTGTTTGTGAAGCAGGCAGCAGCACCACTGAACTAAATCCCTGGCCCTACTGAATGTATTTTAAATGGGTAAATTGTATGGCATGTGAATTATATCCAATAAAACTACTATTAAAAAATAAAACCTTTGGTTTATCTAACAAATGTCCACAGCTACCCTACATGACCCTACAAGTCTACCCTCTGGCCCTCTTTTCCCTAGTTTATCTAGCTATCAGTTCTTTGAGTAATTCTGTTCCAACCATAGCAGCTCCTTTGTTCTTACAGTTATCAAGCAGGGATGCTCTGCCTCAGGGCCTTTGTATTCAGAATAAACTGTCAGCTTCACTTCCAGATACTCAAATGGTCTCCCCCCTACCTTTCATATCTAAGCTTAAATATAACATCCGTTAAGTCTTCCTGAAACCCTCTACTTAATAGTACAGCCCCTCCATCTCAGCATTTATGACTTTCTGTCACTGCCTGTCTTCCCTTCCTGACCTCATATTTTGTGAAAGCAGGGACCACTGGGTCTCAGCTGTCTTTGTAACTGCAGTGTCTAATACTGAGCTTGATGCCCACAGTGGACACCATTAAGTTTTGTTTTATTGAGACGAGGTCTTGCTATGTAGTTCAGATTGGCCTCAAACTCATGGCAATCTTCCTGCCTTAGCCTCCCAAGTACAGGTATATGCCACTATACCGAGCATCTATTATGTTTTGAGACAGGGTCTCACTATGTAGTTCAGACTGGCCTTGAATTTGCTACGTAGCCCAGGCTGGTCTTGAGTTTAATGATCCTCCTACCTTAGCTTTCCAAGTGCTGGGATTACAAGCATGCACCACCATGCTTGACATTAATAAATGTTTTTGAATGAATGAATGAGAAGGGCCTTCAGCCCCTAAGCCCCTTTATGCACTCAGGAATATTACCTTGCCAAGACAGTCCTCTTTCCTATGTAAAATCCCCCAAACACTTGCCTCAAACACAGTACCACACTTAGCAGGAGAGGGACTAAACTTCTCAAGTTGGCAGTTCAGTAGAGGTGTAGTTTCATCCTTCCATGTTAGTCACATTTCTCTTGAAGACAGAAAGGATTATTTTACTTTACATGAAGTTCACTCTTGTTCGTGAAGGCATCAGCTTCCAAGACCTGAAAGGACTAGAGGGTAGAAGTAGACATCCAAGAAAAGCACCAGTGACTTTCCCAACTTCACTCCCCAATTAAAGAGGACAGTTTCTGGTTTGCCACTGGTGAGTTTATTACATGATTAATAAGTTCAAATAAAAAAATAAAAACTAAAATCTTAGTAGGGAGGCTAGAGCCAGAATCTGGGTGTGCTGCTTCCCTGACCCCAGATTCTGGCCAAGCCCAGCTCCCTAACTCAGCTTGACTCAATCAATTTCCTCATCAAGATCTGCATTTGTGTCCTTGACATCTCTGCTGCTCCCGGTGGAGACCGAGTTCTGTGCCCCTGGCACTGGGGCTTTGGTGAGGGCCCCGTATACACCCATGGCCTGAGGAGAGGGATAGAAAGAGAACCATGAGGACTCTGGTAGAAGGCACAGCCCAACCTTCCAATGGCTAAAAGGGAAAACACGTGGCTGGGGATAAAGAACTTGATTTTTCTTTCTCCCTTCCCCAAGCCTCAGTCTTAAAAGCTCTGGAGTCAGTTCTAGAAATCTTACCAACCATCAAAGCAGGGTGACCTTCAGAACACTAACATACAGAACGAAGGTAGCTCAAGAGCTTCCTTAAAGTATCTTCTCAGAGATTCCTTCTCTATCAGGAATGAAGGGAGGTGGAGGCCAAAGCACCCTGAAGACCTCTATGGCATGGGAGTGGTCCTAGGGGTGGTATGGTCTCAGCCTCCAGCACTGGGCACTGTGCTGGGTGCTCAGAGAGCTCTAACCTGAGCCACCATACTGGTAACATCACCAGGATTGGAAGGCAATAGGACAGTGTTGGAGTCCTTGGCCAGTTTGGAGAACGCGCTGACGTACTGCTCAGCCACGGACAATGAAGCTGCTGCATCTCCGTTCTGTGGCCACAGAGAGATAAAATCAGAGGTCAAAAATTTAGAAAAGAAAGAGAGGGTGGAAAAGGAATTCAGATTCCTAGAAAGAAGGTGTGCCGGTTATAATACACGTAATCTGGCTCAGTGGAGTCTACGACATTGGGACCACCCCCCAAGGAGGGATGAGGAAAAACCTTTTCCATTGTCAATTCCTATGTCTACTCCCACCCAGGAGGTTCTCACATGTTGTGTCAGGGCTGCAGCCACGATGCGAATAGCTTCAGCCTTTGCCTTGGCCTTGGCCAGAACTGCACTGGCCTCTCCTGGAAGAAAAGAGGCAGAGTTTGACCCATGAAATCAGAGTACCTAAAATGTCCTGTTCTAGGACCAACCTTCAAAGATCCATGACCAGTTATTCCTCCTTTAGCCTCTACCTTCTGCTCACCTGCTGCCTGATTTATTTGTTCAGCCTTTTCTGCTTCAGAAGCCAAAATCTGGGCCTGTTTCTTCCCCTCTGCCACATTGATAGCTGACTCTCGAGTACCTTCAGACTCTAGGACTGTGGCACGTTTCCGCCGCTCTGCCTCCACCTGGAAGCCCCCAAACAACCCTCATTAACAAGCAGCCAGGGGAAATTTTCACATAGACCTACAATATTTATCATAACAAGAAAGGGAGTCCAAGTCCCCCTCCAGCTGTAATGCGACAAGGTCCTCTTCCCCACCTGCATCTGCATGGACTCTTTCACCCGCGGTGGCACATGGATATCCTTGATCTCATAACGGAGGCAGCGGATGCCCCAGCAGTCAGCAGCCTGGTTGATGGCATCTACAATGCTGGCATTCAAGGATTCTCGCTCCTGGTGGAAGAGAGGTGTAAGTTCCACAGCATCATCCTACCTACTGGGGCTAAGTTGTAAAGTGCCTGGGAACAATTTTGATGCCTAGAAAAAAAAAAAAAAAACCAGCAGTGCCAAGACATGTGCCTTCAAACTCTGGCCCAGATCTGCTTACCCGGAAGACTTTGTCCAGGGCGAGTTTACCAAGCTCTGATCTCATAGTTGTCTGAGCTAGCTGGGTGACAGCATACTCAGGATCTTCTACACCATAGCTTGCCTGAAAGAGACATGGGTGGTAGAAGAAGCTTGGATGCAAGATTTTAGTAAAGAGGGCAACTCAGAAACTGGATATAATAAGGAGCAGATACCTTGTAAGGGTCCATGATACGTAGGTAAAGGACTCCATCAATTTGCAGAGTTACATTATCTACAAAAAGAGAAGCAGGAGAGAAGAGGAGGAAGGTCAGAGTTCTAAGTCCCAACCACCTCTTTCTCCTAAGCTCTGGATCTACAGCAACCACAACCTAATGGTCTGAGAGCACCCAAGTCACCCTGTACCCCTCACCAAGAGTCACAGCCGATTGTTCAGGCACGTTGATGACAATTTCCTTGAGACTCTGCACATATCGGATCCGGTCTAACACAGGGATGAGGATGTTCAAACCCTGGGAAGAGGAGTCATGGGTCCTCAGGAGGATGAGGAGGACAGGGTTGGAATCTAGACTAGGCCTGGAGTAGGTAGGGAGTCAACATATGGAACATGCCCAGAAAGGCAGTAACCCCTGCCAAGAGATGTCCTCAGAAGGCTAGAATGTCACTGGCAGGGAAACTTAAGAGCATAGGAATGCAAGATTCAGCCTCTAAATGGAGAGGAGAGTCAAGAGAATGGGAACCAAAACAATAGCTGTCTTTAGGCTGATAAATAGGTTTGAGAGTGGGGTAGTACCAAGAATGGGGCCTGTGGATGCTAGAATGGGGTAGCAGGAAAAGGTGATGACATAGGCATAATGGCCAGCAGCCTGGGCCCAGCCAGGACTAATGGAGGGAGTTGGCAGTCAAAGGCAGAGACGGGACCAAGAAGGTCTCAGTCCCATGTGTGAGGGATCTGGGTATCTGGCCAACCCGAGATGGGCAAGAAAGGTTCTTACAGGCTCCAGGATCCGGTGGAACCGTCCCATTCGCTCTACCACCCAGGCCTCCTGCTGCGGCACAAACAGTACCACTGTATTTCGGGGCAATCCGGAGGAGGCGCGGCATGGAGCACGGCCAGAAGCCTGCACAGAGCCCTGAAAGAAAGACAAGCGTAGGCTGAGACATAAGCCGGACCTGCAACTTGCTCCTCTCCCCCTAAGGTATCTCCCTAAAACAGCGACCATCAAAGGTCCTCGGTGAATGACTCACGTGGGGACCATGACTTCTGACCCCACTCCTCTCCCAAAGTTGGAATCCCGCTCCTTCCCAGCTGAGGACACAGACGGTCACTGTTCTGCCCCTCTGGAGAAGGTTGCCTTACTCTCACCCTTAGCAAAAGGGCTCCAGTGCCCCGCGCAGCGCGCGCCAGCATTTCCCACAATCTCGGCGACCTCCGGAACTAACGAGACGCGGAGCAGAGAGGCCGCTCCAGAAACTCAGACCCGAGCCTTTCCTCCCGCAGGTCCTCTGCCCCGGAAGTACTTCCTCATCTCCTTCCCAGTTGTATACTTAAACCTTTTTGGCGTTAATTGGCAGAGTGTGCATGGAGTTGTTCCCTGGGAAACGCTGTCCTTCCACCAAGGGCGAGAAGCTGCAACTTGTTCTGATTCCCGCTGTTTGAGCCCAAGATTATGGACATTGTGGGAGAAATGAGGGCTATTTTCCACGTGTAGTTGTTCCAGAAACACCTCCTGCTGAATTCTTTAAGCCTCAAAGACTGTTTACTCTCAAAGGCATGTAATAGCCTCATCTTGTCACCATAGGGACGAGTGGATTATTTTTTGCGCTGATTCGTTGCCATGGTTGCCATAGTGACATGCGGCTGCGCGGTGCCCACCCCTTCCACTGGGAACTGACCCCATTCCCATTGTCATGGTAACTGAACCTAACTTTGCCCGACGGTTGGGCTAAGCCCCGTTCCTCCTTCCCAAGACACCATAGCTCTTTCCACTTCTTCCCAATTGTGGCCTGGTCCCCTTGCATACAGAGTACAGCAAACAGCCTCAACCTTGTCTGGATCATGTCACTTTGCAAACATCCCTGCTGCTCTGGCACATCTTTTAAAGAGTCATCCTCATTTTACAGTCATTAACAGAACCAGTATAAAAACCCAGATCTAGTTGGACGTGGTGGTGTATACCTGTGATCCCAGTACTCTGGGAGGCTGAGGCAGGAGGGTCACAAGTTTGAGCCCAGCCTGAGCAATTTAGCAAGACCCCATCTCAAAATCAAAAATAAAAAGCATTGTGGATATGGCTTGGTGAGAAGGCCTTAGGTTCAATCCCTCCTAATACTTCAAAACAAAACAAATCCAGAACTACTGAGTCCTCTAACTGTACTTTTTACCCTACAGGTCAAGCACCCTCATTATGGAAAATAAGACCATGACCCAAGAATCCTCAGGACCTAGCTGAATACTTCATGGGCTCAAGGTTAATGCCTGCTCTCTAGGAGAAAGGCCAGAGTCCCAGCTCCAGACCTCTTCACATCTCTCCAACATAAAGAGTAGAACTTAGTTTAAGTTTCCAAACAAGACTTTATTCTTTATTTATTTTTTCTTTAAAAAAGTACCAGGTACAAGTTTTTCCTGCTTTTTGTTTTGTTTCTTCAAGTTTCAGAAAGTGTTTGTTCCCCTCAGCTTAGCCCCAGGAGTCCAGGGCTAAGGCTTGGTAGAGTCTGAAGAGGGGAATGGGGTAGTTGGGAACCACATAACTGAGTTTGAGGGGTGCCCCTCACCCCAGCTGAGGTAGGTGGGTCAGAGTCTGGCCAGGTGAAAGGAGGCACCCCAGTCCTTGGCCCTGACTCTGCCTCTGGTCACCTTCCTCGTCAGGACCCCAAAGCAAAGAAACACAGGCAGGAGAAGGGGGATAACTGAGTCTGGAGCCCTAGGTAAAGGGTGGTTAACCCCTGTGTGTGTGCACACATGCACGCTTTCTCTCACACATATCACACAAACATGAGCTTGTGCTCATGCACACACATACACGTGCACACACACACACACAAAGTTGGCTTTCAAAGATGGGTTAGAAGGTAGGGAGAATGGAGGGAATAGGGAAGGACAGGGGAAGCTGAGTCTTTGGCTAGTGACTCAGTCCCTCCAGAGTAACCCCTCTGCCCCCAGCTGAGTGACAGCAGTTCTCTCCCTGCCCCCACGTCAGCCTCTTCAACTCCTGAGGTTGGAGCAATATCTGAGAGTGGGAAAGGAGGGGCGATGCCAATTATCAGGTTTGGGAGGTTACCAAGGCAATCCAATTTGAATAAATTATAAATTAAAAAATAAATAAAATAATAAGTGGTCCCTGGCCCAGGACAGGGAGGCAGCGCTGGCATGACTTGCCTGGGAACTTGGGACAATCTCAGGGTAGCTCTGGTTTTTCCCTACTACGTAAGCTGGCCTGGAAAACCCAAGGAAGGGGACAGGCACATGGAGTACCCGGAGTAGGGCAGGGTGTGAAAGGATCAGAAGCTTCACACACCCAAATCATCAGTTTGGGCATGAGTGTGGCAAGGATTTCAACAAGCCTTAAGGGGATCTTGCCATCTCTCCGCATGTTTACTCTGTCCAGGATGGGCAAGCTGTTGGCCCACCTAGGTTCAGAGCACTGGCAATCAGGGCAAAGGTGAGTAACGTGGATTGTGAGGGGCCTCAGTCACAGCCTGCAGTTCATAGGGGAGACCTGTGTCCAGTTCCAGGCTCCGGCGGGAAAAAAGCAGGCGGATATCTCCATGCAGGCTTAAGCGGCCTGAGCGGGAGCTCTGGAACCTGAGAAAAGACAGTAATGATTAAAGCCAGAATCTAAAGGCTCAGGGTTAGAGTTCAGTGGTGCTGTGCCTGCTTGGCAAGCACAAGGTCCTGAGTTTGATTCCCCAGTACCAGAAAAAAAAAAAGAAAAGAAAAAAAAAGACAGAATCCAGAGCTAGAAAAGCAAAGAGAGATGCTATTCAAGGAAGGGAACTTGGATTTGGGAAAGGATACCTGGGTTTCCCCAGCTGTTCCTGGACCCTGTCCTCACCTGAGGTGTAGCAAGTAGCAGAGGAGGCGGTGGGTGGAACTAGCATTTCCCTCCTCACCCACAGGCACCAAAAAGAGGCGATGGCGCAAGAAGGTCATGTGGGCAGCAGGCATGTCCGAGAAGTCAAAGGTCACGAGGAACATCTTCACGACAGTCTGGTTGGGGTTAAATAAGGTCTGGGGACAAGACAGTCACGTTTGGTTGGTAGGGATTAGGGCCTGTTTTCTTCTCTCTCCACATCCATTTCCTCAGGGCAAACTTACCACTTGGATGGTGCCCACCTTGGGCACACTGTAACCCTTCCTCCCCAGGGAGTTCAGGTCCACGACACCCTGGGAAGACCACAGAGCCAGGTCAGTGTGGGCACTAGGAAACCCCTAAGCCCTGAACACTAGTGTCTCTCCACAATCTCTCACCTAGACTTGCTCTTGCCCCACAAGAGATTTTGCCCCATTTGACCCCAAATCACTCCTGGGTAAGAAACATCTAAGGAATACCTCTTGCCCCTAACCCCTCTCTTCCTGATGAACTAACTATGGGTAGGGGTCAGTTCATACCAGGAAGGGGGCCGGGGCATTTTGCTCAGAAACATCAAAGAAGGTGACAGTGACAGGCAACGTGACATGCTGGGGGCAGTAGGACCCACTAGCTCCAATCTCTGCTGTGAAGCCCTCAATGTGGCCAGATGGTGCAAAGCGTCCTCGAAGCAATGATTCCTGGTGTTAGGGTAGGGAAAACACATTATGAGAGAGATGCCAATTCTTTTCCTTTTGCACCTAAGCCACATTCCACCATCCCACTCTTCCCGAGATCCCTCAGTCACAAAGCCCAAAGAGTAACTACCTCAAAGTTGCCCAGCAGGGTACGGCTGATGGCAGGGGTAGGAACGGGGGAGGCACTGGGGGCGCTCAGCAGGCCTGGGCCCTTTCGGAGGCTTCGAAGGGAGCTCCTGGTTGGGGAGGGGACACACAGTGGGTTGGTTTGAGATACTCTGGGATTCTTACTCACATCCTTGGGCTCCATCCTTTGACACTATCTAGGTATCCTGCCTTGGGTTCCCTACTTTTGTACTGGGAAGAGGATCACAGACTTCTGTCCCTACTCTGAAGGACAGCGTAGAGGAAGAAGCTGGTTACTTACGGCTTCAGACGGCGGGCACCTTTCAGCCTCCGTGCCATGGGACCACAATCTTTCGGGTCCTATGAAGAGACAAGATTGAGAAAAGAGACCGGAGGAAGGCCAGGTGTATCCTGGGTCAGAGGCTCATCACAAGCTCTCAAAGGAACATCCCACAGGCCTCCACCATCAGCCACATAAATATCCACTTAGGAGTAGATAAGTGCTTCTATTGGCTTACCAAAACAGGCTCCTTGGGCCCAGGCAGCAGGTGGTTCCAGAAGGGTGTGGCTTTGGCATCAGAACTGTTGGCAGCAGAAGGGTGGCCCAGGGTTCCCCGGCGCCTCCGAGGGGCTGGCCCCTCATCCTCAGAGCTGACATCTAGGGCTTCTCCAGCAGGAAGCAGCCTTCGCTTGGTGGGGCAGGGGCCTGGAGGTCCGGGGCCAGGGGGTGTGTGCTCGGGACTGTGCCCATTGGCAGTGCCAGGGGACTCCCTAGGCCAGGGACTGCCCCCATTGCCCACCCTAGCCACTGGGCTCTTACCCCCTATTTGTGCAAGACTGTGCAAATCAGTGTCAAGTGTGTGCAGCTGGCCTGAAGGGGCTGACCCTGGAGACTCCCCCAGGGACCCCTGTCCCCCTGGATCTGGGGAAGCCCAGTCTCTGGTGTGCAAAGTATTGCAGGAAGCATTTGATGGGGGACAGGAGGGACTTCGGGGCCCTGAAGTCCAAGGTGAGATGGCACTACCTCCCTGTTCCACAACACAGAGGCCATGGTGGGAGAAATGCTGGCTGGCCACACCTAGTCCCAGCCCCAGTCCCTCTGGGCCCAACAGCCCCACAGCAGATGGTTCTTCAGGGTGCAGTCCCTCTCTCGTCCCGAGACCAGGGCCTCTCTTGGTCTCCCGGGAACCCTCAGTGGGCGGGGCTGGCCGCTTCAGAGCCCTATGAGACTCAGAGGTACCAGCTGGAGGAGAAAAGATGGATACCTGGTAGACCCTGGGGGATGCTGCCCCCCCTGCTGGGCTGTAGCCCATGAGCAGGCCACCCTGGAGGGCCCCCTGTGTGACTGGAGGCTGTGAAGGGCCAGCCTCTGGCTCTGAGGATGGAGACGGCTCCGCCTGCACGTGGCGCATGAAGCCCACCTTGGGTCAGGGGGGCCCCCCAACACGGCCTTTATGCTGGGCCTGGGCTGGGGGGCCTGGTGACATCTGTGCAAGAGAAAAGAAGAAAAGGTGGTCAGGAGAATCAATGACTTTTCTTCCTTCCTGATAAGTTTCAGACCCTCCCTTAGGCTGAAGAGGTGACCTTGAGGGGTTCTGGGGTAAAAGTATCTAAATGCCCAGATGAATTAACGAAGTATGGAGGCTCCTCTCAGAACTCCGGAGGGGGTAATGCATTTAGCTCAGGTTTTTTACTGGACCCGCCCCACCCTCCCCTCTTCCTGGCACCTACCACGATCAAGAGGCCTCAAGTCTAGTTGTATGTCCCCTCTTCCTGACTGATGTCTTGCTCCCTTAGCTTGCTGTCTGGTCCATGCCCGCTGCACTGGCAAGGTGACTGCCACCATTCCGTGCAGCTCTTGGGCTCAGCTGGACCCTAAAGAGAGAAAAACATACATAAGCCAGAATCCATGGAGTCAGTGGTATGACCTCTCCTTCACTGTGAGCTGACAGAGCATGTGATGAGCTCTTCAGAAAGAGAAGGATCCAGGGCACAGGCAATAGAGTTGGACTATCTGAGAAGCCACAGAAAGGCAGGTATTTGCTCAGTGTAATAAGGTTATGAGAAGTAAGTCGAGGCAAAATGAACCACTTGTGGTTCCACCACCTTGTGGAATCCTGCTGTAAAAGAGAGGGGAGCTGAGCTATTGCCAAGATCCATGAGACAGTGCCAGACAGGAGATAGGCAGGGAAATAATTCCTATTCAAGGCCACCAAGTTACACAACTCCTTCCCCTATGAAAAGTGCTAAGAACAGAGGTCTTATAGTCACACCCCATCACATACTCCTTAGAGATACAAACCTCAGGTCAGCTCAGAGTAAGCCCTTCAGCCTTGAATTCCCAATTTCCCCCCAGCAATCTGTCCTTTTAATTAGAGACAACAAATCCAATAAAAAACAAGTGGTTGGGAGAGAAGGCACTGCCAAAAGACACAGGGCCTACTCCTCCCCCTAGGCCCTGCAAGCTAGAGATAAGGCAGCAGCAGGCAGTCAACTGGAAGCAACAAGGGTTATTGCTTTATGCCCCTCCCCCAAGGCTTCCACATCCCAAAACCCAAAAAACCCAAACTACCTTGTTTTTGTCAGGGTATGAGATGGTTCTCACAGACTAGTCTACTGTCAGGAACCCATACCAGAATGAAGGAATGGTCAAGCTGAAGGCCAACTGCCTCCTCCTTTGGGTGGTAGCTTGTGTTGCTTGCCATCTGTAATGCCTTTTCCCCTTTAAGAAGTGCCCTTTGTGCATCTATTGAATCCCTATCCATCCACTTTTACTAGGCCAAATGCCATCTCTTCCAGAAAGTCTACCTCAAACTGTAGTAGATCACTTGCCTAGCATGCTCAAGGCCCTGGGCTTGATCCCCAGCACCCCCCCAACAAACAAACAAACAAACCAGCCAGAAAGTTTGCTCTCCATTCTAGGTCATAAACATTTCTCCCTCCTCTAAGACCTCACCTATGGCAATGTCACTACTTCCTATAATCCAGTGGCAATCATGTTCATACTCTAAGGATCTCCAAGACTGACCACAAGATTCCTGAGGGCGAGATCAGTGCCCCAGTCCTCTGCACAATTTGAAGCACAGAGGAGAGCAAATAGCAGGGCTCAAAAAAAAAAAAAAAAAAAAAA